GAGCCCCTCCGCCCCTCGCACCGGCCTCTGACAGCGGCCTGCCCGCGCCGGCCCCAAAGCGGAGCCTGAGCCGCTCCGTGGGCATCGTGTTCCCACCCCCACACTGCGACAGGACGCTGCAGGGGGTTTTGGTGTAAAACTGCGTGTTTCTGTATCCCCGCATCGGGGAGGGCTGTGTCGTTGGGGACTGCTGCTGCGAGGGCAGCGGTGCCATGTCACAAGCTCCACGGTGCACATTTTTCCTCAAATAAAAGTGCTAAAGGTCTGTCCCGCTGCAGGGGCATCTGTCCCGTCCACAGCTCTGCCCAAGGGTCTCCGTGCCAAAGGGACAGCAGAGTCATCGCCGTTAAATCACCAGGGTGTGCGTGGTCTGCTGCCGCCGAACTAACAGATGCTTGCAGTTAAATCATTCGAAAGCCTGAGTTTTTTGCCTTGTGCCCAAATTATTCAGACACTGACAAACAAAATGGGAAGAAATAACCCTGGGAGAAATTAGTAATGTGTTGCATGGGGACTTTGGGCCTTGTCTGTTGTATGACAGCCACTATGATACCAGGCTGGCTGTAGTTAACTGTGACTGTTACAACCCTTCTGGCCATAGCATCACCCTCAGCACAAACCAAACAGAAAAATTTGGCGTCCCCAAATACGCACACAGGGCTGCCTTGGGTGTGATCCCAAGCCTGCAAACAGCAGAGCCACGTGTTCAGGGCAGAAGACAGGCACAAACACATCACTGCACGTGCAAAGCCTCCAGGCGCTTCTGGAGAGGTGAGCAGTCAGGTTGAACCCCACAGCAATCACCAGGACTTGTCTGTCGCTAAGACTTCTTCACCCAAACTTCTCCTTCAGGGCATTGCAGGCCTGAAGAGATCGTGAGGGCCTGCCTTTCCTTGTATCCCATATGATGTCTCCCTCACCGGCTATGCCATCCCCCCTGTAGCTGAGCTGTATTTCTGGATGCATCTTTGTGTCCCAACTAGCTTTAGCTTGAAGAGTCCTCTACAATGGTGATGATTAAACCTGAGGAACGAGCATATCAAGCTCCTGCAAGTCTTTGGAGATTCCAATTACTTAAAGATACGGCGGCAGCATTTCAGATTTAGAGAGAAGGAAAACTGTGCCACAAAGTAACGCACAGATCCAGTCGTCAAGGTGGTCTGACATTTTTCTTGTTTAGGACAAGACTTCTTTATATAGCCTTTATCTGTCACTGTATTTCTTGACTGGATTGTGTATTGCTCTTGTTTTCTTTCTAGAATTCATCCCCCCTGCGTTCTGCACAGATACTTGAGATCATTTTTAAACGTGTATTTTGCTGGAAGATGCTGATGGGGACAGGATCAGCAGCAGCTTCTGTTTGTTTAATAAATGTTTACTGAGTTTTGAAGCTGTTTGCTGAAGTTTAAGGACCATCTATGTAAGCATTCTGTTGTGGTTTAATTTCAGGGGATCGAGTTCCTACTGCATTACTGCAACTTGCTGCATCTGCACAGTGTCACGGGTGGCTCCCTGAAGGTGAAGGAACAGTGCTTGAACACACGAGACTGAACCCAGCAAGCTGAAAATGTGGTAACAAGGAACAGGTCAGAGAACAAAGTGCATGAGGTAGGCTGTACAAATGTTGGGTTATGTAATTTGTCTTTATATGAAATAAAACATGAGTTCGAGTACATAAAAATCATACTTCACAGAAAGCCACTTACGTTTTATAGCCAAGACGCTGCATTCAGAGTCAAACTAGGTAAACAAGGTCAAGCAGCCTGAATTAATTCACAGGCAACCAAACCAGGGTGAGAGTCAAAAGTACACTTGAGAGCTACTGAGAGATGTCCTAACCACTCCAACACTGACCCTTGGAGCTATGATCAGGGGGTTATCTTTTTTTAATTACAAATAAAGCAGATGTAAAGATAAGAAACCGTAGGCAATTTTAGAACATCTCAACCAGCACAATATTCCATGCCCTGCAACCAAGAGCATGTTTTCTGATGGCTGTGGGACAGCTAAAGCCACATTACTACTAAGAAATGTCATTCCACAACAGCCGTACCTTTGAAAACAGCTAGGAAGCAAAAAGCATCCTTCTTCCCTACTCCTTGTTTCAAGTTTTCCTGTATTTTTTCACAAAGCCGGATAAGAGGACAAAAACATTCATCATGCTGCTTATTGCCTGTGACCTATCACTTCAAACGCTTTGTTCTGCACTCTTAAAACCCAAAAATGTTTAAAAAGCACAGCTGTGCTGGTATGAAACCCATCCTTCAAGATGTTTTATTGAAAAACACCATTGAACTCTATGAACCCTTTGGCCCATACATTCGATTTTTACTAGCCTGTGCTTCTTCACACCCTCGAGCCCAGCATGTTTCACATGCCTTCAGGCCTGGCTACAGGCACACTGATTTTTCGAGACAGCCTGCGCTCTCTTTTCATGCAAGGTCGGTTTGATGAGCTGCACGTCCGTGCTCAGGAGACAGACAGCTACACCTGCAGGAGCTGGCACTGCCCTGCGTGCCGGACAGGCAGCTGCTGCCTACAGGGTGACCTAGAACTGACAGCGCTGGGATTATCACGGTGGGACCTGGGTGCAGGGCAATGGCTGCAGCCTCCCAACCAGCCGTGGGCCCCACAGGCTGGAGAAAATGCAGAAGTCACCAGTGGCACAAGCCCAGGGGCCAGCTGGCAGAAAGAGCGCGACCAGCCACACCAGACCTGCTAGTGCAAACACCAGCTCAGCACAGGCTTGTGCACGTGCCAGATGGTGCTGGCGCAGGCTCACTCAAGCTGCAGAGTAACAGGTTGTATGCTAGTAACCGTGACCTCAAAATCAGGACCAAATCAACTCCACAACACAGATTTTTACTACCACTGTTTAAATTACCAGCTAGTCCTTTCTCACCTCCTCAGCCAGTGGCGAGACAAGAGCTGTAGAGCCTGGGGCTGATGAAAGGTGGCCAATGGCCTGGTTTCTGGGACCCCGGCTGCTTTCTGGGACCCCTCCCTGAGCACAGGCTGGGTCTCTGGGCAAAACACTGAATATGTCAGAGGTGGGACACTTCACAGAGGTGCTCAGCTTTACTATCCGTGCCTTACTTGGAAAGAGCCAATTTAAGAGCCACTCCATCTATTCGCTCGCACAAGCTAAGGGCATTTGATGGCTGCTGTACCAGAACTGAAGTGGTCATAAACACAAAACTGCTTTTAGTTACCAAGTAGCAACAAGCATCATTCCCCATTACCTGTCATTGCAGTCCTACTGAAATCATGCTGCAGGGGCTGTATTTACTTTGCGATTGATACAGTTCATCCATATTATCACAGCTTACCCATAGCTTACATTCCACAACCCATCACAGAGGAAAAGAAACAAACCATTTCATCTTGTCCGGAGTACTTTGCTTCTCTTTCACTTCTAGTAACAGGATGTCATGGTTTAACCCAGCTGGCAACTAAGCACCATGCAGCCGCTCGCTCGCTCACTCCCCCCCCTCCCTCAGTGGGATGGGGGAGAGAATCAGGAAGAAAATAAAAGGTTAGAGCCGAGGGCTGAGATAAAGGCAGTTTAATAAGAGAAAATAATAATAATAGTAATAATGAGAATGATAACAGAATATACAGAATATACAAAATGAATGATGCACAATGCAATTGCTCACCACCTGCCGACCGATGCCCAGCCCGTCCTGAGCTGCGATCAGTCCCCGAGCCGCGATCAGTCCCCAAGCCGCGAGCACTCTCCCTGCGACCGACCGACCCACTAACCCCCCACGAGCATGACATTATATGGTATGGAATAGCTCTTTGGACAGTTTGGGTTAGCTGTCCTAGCTGTGCTGTATTCCCAGCTTGTTATGCACCTGGCCGAGCAGGAGAAGCTCAAGAAGTCCTTGAGTAGTCTGAGCACTACTTGGCAACAGCTGAAAACATCAGTGTGTTATCAACATTCTTCTGGTACTAAATCCAAAACACAGCACTATGCTAGCTACTATGAAGAAAATTAACTCTATCCCAGCCGAAACCAGGACACAGGAATACGTTGGACTTGAGAACAAGTCGCAGGGATGCGACTCACCTCTCCCGCACGGTCTTCCACCGCTTCCCAGGAGCTGGACCACATGCAATACATTTACTTCAGTGGTGGCTATCAATCAGATTTGTTTTCCTCTTTCTGTGTCTCCCAAAGAAGTAACAGCTCATTTGTTTGGATTAAAATATCTATAAACTCCACTGCTGGCAAGCTATAATGCTGATGCTTCTTGTTTTTTGCTTAAGCAGTGGTCTTCTTGTTCCTGTATAATACTAAGAAAAAAAAAGTTTATGAGGTTTTTAATAGCAGTTGCGTACTCCAGAAAAACAATAGGTCGTACCCTAATAACCATGACCTCAAAATCAGGACCAGAGAGAAGTCACAACATCAATTTTTACTACCATTGTTTAAATCACCCATTGTTTAAATAGATGTTATCTAAACACTTGCTTCAGAATGTCCTGTGTCCAGGATATCCGGTTCACTAAATAAGGAATCATGTTACACTTATTCACATACAAGTCTGAGCTAAAAATAGATATCCCAGTATATACGACCTGCACGATATCTCTGTGGGAGATTTGCAGAGGTAAAAGGAAGCGTTGGGTGCATAGCATCCATTGAAGTTTCTCCACAGTTAGCAGTATTTCATGCATCCATGTAATGGATCTGTTAATGCTCCAGTATGCCAGACACAGTCTGAGACATAGGAAGAGCAGTTCATACCAGCAAGCTCACCCTCTCAGCAGGTAGAAGAAAGTGGCAGAAAGACAGAAGGCACAGATGGGTGACGATGTTTGTCTGGTGCTTTCACGATGTACCTGAGACACAAACCTTCAACTTCCCACCAGCCACCCCAGGTCGGTGTCTGCCCTAGTGAACCAAAGCAGGACGTATTGCAGGTGCAGGAGGAAATACATGGGGATCTCTTCCTGCACCAGCGATGTACAGCTGCTCTTCTACAGTGAGTGGGTGGTACCTCCAGCTTACTATAATGCACTGTTAAACAGTCTATAGCAGAAAAGTGCAATAATTGATTGCAAAAAAATGCAAGTCTGAAAGTTCGGTCACTTGACCTCATGCCCCAGTCATTACTCTTCTAAGTATTTCCTCTGAAAGCAAACCCCTGGGTGGTCTTGTAAGGGAGATGCCATGATCAAAATAAACATCCTCCACTTGCCATT